CACAGCCCAACTTGCAGTCCGTCACCTCCGCTGATCGTCATGGCGACGGCCATAATATCAAACCTGAGGTACTTTAAGTCCAGGTACATACAATAGAGCCACTTCATGATTATGAATATTTCTATAGATCCTCCCCCGTCCATTACTTTATCCATCACTGTATTTACTGTATATACTCCATATATGTATCCACATAACTCATGTACATAAAGAACTCTGCATGTACATATCTGTTTTAGCATCCTTTGCACACCTTTGTCTAATGTCTACAAATGTTATTGTTTTTGTTTATATATGAATAACAATATAGTAGTTCATGTCTATTTTGTTGAACTTTGTTGATCGTGGTCAAGTATCATCATCCTTATTTTGAATCACAATAATTCTCAGGATTTCTTTCCTCTAAGCTCTCATATCACGCCTAAAATTACAGACATTTTGTGTTTTGTCTTTCTAGGTGAAAATAATTTCTTAATTGGGTTGACTGAATAGCTCAAGTTAACCCGAACTAAACTGAAAACCATGAAAGGTATTAAACAAGTGATTTGTAGCGCAACATGTAATGTTGGTTTGGGAATTTTGCCCTGAGCTCAGTCCATGCATTTCTGCACAATAATTCAGAAGTTATAATAGATAGATTACTTTATTAATCCCACAACAGGGAAATTCACTTGTCACAGCAGCATTTGAGTGAAATAAATAAAAACAGATATAAAAGCTATGGTGAGTGGTAAAAGCTAAGGTATGGTGGTAATTTGAACTACAACATGATCAGGAACAAATGATAACAATGTATGAATATTATTGCTATTGTTATTATTTACTTCCATTAACCTCCCAATGCACAAATGTCCACTGTTACTTTTACAGCTTAGACAAAGGCCTAACATATTGATATGAATATCACTGCCACAATATGAATTACAGAAGCATGTTGGGTTAGAGTTTCAGATGTACTAATGCCAATGAACACAAGTGATTGTCTGACAGAGAAAATTATTCATGAACATTTGAAAACTAAGTTGATTCCATGTCAACAGCAAAGACATTTCCATATCCACAATCCCATACCATTGATACTTTATTGTTACTTACCAGTCTGTCTCTACAGCATCAGAGCATCACAGGAGTCAGGCTGTAGTATCTTAAGTGTAACAATGAGTTTAATAGATTTTCTAAACCAGGGGTAAAAAAAGGCATAAATCAAAGGGTTTAGACAGGAGTTAACATAGATCAAAAATATTTCAAATGTTACAAAAGCAGCATTGAGCAAGTTATCTTGGCCTGTAAGAGCTACACAATAATATGGGCAGGTACATATTACAAACACAACTACAACAACACCAAGAGTCCTGGCTGCTTTCATTTCAGATTTTTTAGCAGTTACTTTCACTGATTTCTGGAGTGTGACAGCTGCAATATGTGACCGCATGGCACGAGCCTGAGACACAGCCACCACAAAAACTCTGATATACAGAACTACAATAACAGTAATGGGAATGATGAAGGAACAAATAAGATCTACAAGTCCAGCAATGTAGCTAATGAAAAATACACACTCTCCAATGCAGGAGTTATACCTGCCTGGTTGTTTCAGGATATCCTTCAGATTCAAACTGTGAAGAATTACAGAACACATCCAACACAGAGAAATACACACTTGAACTCTTTTTTGTGTGACTTTGGTGGAGTAATGCAGAGGATGACAAATAGCCACATAGCGGTCAACAGATATGATCACCATGGTTCCTATTGAGGCAGAGGTAATAATGTATGCTAGATATTGATACACAACACACATGAGGTCACCAAGGAACCAGCAGCCATCTATGAGCATAATTTGGAAGAAAATGAGGAGGCCCACGAAGAAATCAGAGACCGCCAGAGAGAGGAGGTTGAGGTTGGTGGGGGTGTGCAGCTGCCTGGGGAGGAAGACCAGCGATATATGGATAATTATTTATAGTATCAATCATCATTCAGATGAAGACAGATAGAGCAAATACTAAACTACAATAACATTTCTTCTTTTTATTACTATCTACCAGTTTTATAAATGAATGATTATCTACTTGAAGTGGGAGATAGAGATGATGACCAGCAGGTTAAGAACTGCAGTGATCAGAGATAAGGAGGACAGCAGAATGTAAATCAGCATGGTCTCAAAGTGAGGACGCCCAGTCTTCCTGCAGGAGGTGTTGAGGAGTTGTGGAAAGCAGAGTTCACTTCCCTCCAAGGTCTCCATCAGCACAGAGAGGAGAATCTGCTGAGCTCTGGCAGCTTTATGACCAAACCTTTTTGTCATACAACTGACCCCACCCCTAGTCCTCACCTCTGCAGCTGTTTTTTTGTCCACACAGATTGAAGTAAGCTGCCCATGTCGAAGTCGCTCAAATCCTCACGCTGCCCATTGTTTCTGCTTCTAACACATCAACTTTGAGGATAAAATGTTTCCTTGCTGCCTGATACAATATATCCCACCCACTGACAGGTGCCATGATAATCAAATAATCAGTGTTAATCTATATCATTATTAATTCAGTGACTCACTAACAACAGCAAATACATTTCCATATCCACAGAAAGTTTTACTGATGTTACTCACCATTATGTTTTTACAGCATTTTAGTATCACAGGAGTCAGGCTACTGTATCTTAGGTGTAACAATGACTTTAAAGGGACACTTCACCCATTTGCATTAAGCTTTGTATCATTAGAATCCCAGTCATATTTTTGAATGGTCGTGCATCATTCCCTCACTTCCCCGGAGAGGGGAGAAATAAGGATTTTAGTGTTGCACTTCCTGCTTCCAATGATGTAAAAATCGTCATTTTGCGTCATTGGAAGCAGGAAGTCTCATATCTCTGTAGAGGGGGTGAGACTACAAACACTACTTCCTCATTTTTTTTTCACTCACGCTACAGACCTATTACAGATCAGTGGGTGGGACTTCACCTGCAGAAACTAAAAAATATAACCGCCATCTTGTTTGGAAGCTAAGCGGAGGCGCTGTGGAGCCAGACGTTACGACGATGTTAATCAATGTAATATGCAAAAGTATGATGGTCGAATCAGATGTTCGTGGCTACCTTTATGAGCCGCAATATAGCGAGCAGCGGCTGAGGCTTCTGCAGCCGAGGCAGAGGGCCTGGCTGTCGCGGACGAGGAGCCCGGACTGGCTCGAGCTGGGGCGGACTGCTGGTGCCTGTGCTCTCGCTGTGCGCCTACGGACACACGGACGTCTGACTGTAAAGTGAGTGTTTCTATTTTCTGTCTTATAACAACGTGGCATGTATGTACACAATTTGTTCAAGTATTATCACAAAGTTATTCCCGGTTAATACGTAACGTCAGCCAACTGAACTAACGTTAACTTCTTTACTGCACAAACAGCTTGCAGTTGCATTGCTAACTACTGTGGCACGCTACACACAAAGACCATGCATTGCTAACTGTGTGCTCAATGTCTTGTAGACAATATCGCCTAACAGCCTTTCTGGAATGGGTCCTGCAAGGCGAGAGATTGGGTCGAGGCCATCGTGTCGTTTTACCCGCTTATGTGGTGCAGGCTATCCGACAGAAACATCCAGCTCCAGATGGCCAGTACTGCGGCACCAAGGAGTTGAGGACGCTCAGGGGGAACTATAACTGTCATTGTTAACATATTTATTTTTGTTGTTGTTGATATATTTCTGTAAATAAATGGTTTACATTCACGTTGTTGTAGTCCTTGATAGTGTTAGTGGGAGCGGCTTGCGGAGCTGTGCATTGTGGGAGTTGTTGTCTTTAATACAAATGCGCCCTAAAGTCACTTTCTGTCTTTTCTCGGTCAAATAGGCACCAATTTCAAAATATATGTCACATTTCGACTACATATATAACCCACTTTCAATGAATATTAATGTTTCCACGGGTGAAATGCTCCTTTGATAGATTTTCTAAATTTTTATATACATTATACATTTGCTAAAGGCATGTAAACGTCACCAACCTATCAACAATTCTTACTTGCGTAGTAGCGTTATTTCAGCTATTTCAGGCTCTCATGTATGCAGGACTAAAAGTGCCAAAATTAAATAATAAATACACCATTAAATAATTACTTGCAAGTGTCATTAATGAATTAAAATACCAATTCATTTTATGTAAAAAACATATATTTATTTCACTTTTTAATAAATTATTTCATGGTCCTGTGTTACAGTGCTTTGTGAATTTATTTTATCCGTCAAACTCGCCTTGGTCTGAAGTAGAGTGCCTGGATAGAGACGATGGTAGATCTTCATGAACTTTCAAGGGCAGAGGTCACTAACAGGTCCGGACCCAGGCGGCGTCCTATGCGGACCCAGACCTATACTCAATTAATTATTGAGGGATACTAAATTTTGACGGGGTGCTTCTATTTTAACCAGCACAGCTTTTCTAGTCTTTATGGCATTTGTTTAGCGGATCAGGAAGCTTACAGACCAATTGCATGCGAGTTAAGCCATCCCATGTGATGCTGCTCAGCTAATCAAATCTTTGTAAACAACAGCGCGACTCTGAATACAGAGATGGGAGCAATGAGAGGCGAGTGACAGATGGAAAGAGATGTTAGCGATACATGGAGAGGAAACGGAGAGACGAGTGAGCGCGAGACAACAGAAAAATAATGGCGCTCTCTGAGAAAAGTGGAATAGAGCTTCTACCCGAAATGGACTGATTCATTCATATTCATTCTTCCCACTGGGAGCACAAAACCACCGTGGTGCTGATTAACAGTGCCAATGTGAAACGCCACTGAGACAAAACAAAGTTTTTCATCAAACATACCCACTCAAGTCTGAACTAAGGTGACAGAAAATAAGCAGTGTCAGATCCCAATATGATCAATCAACCAATATCCTGACCCATTCATTCACTGCCCAACAAGGAAGAGAGGTTAGAGCTCAATTCTCTCACTGAAGAACAGAAAGTGGGGGTGTAAGATATAAGAGGGAAAGAAAGAGAAACTGCAAAACTGTTCAATTTTAAAGATGTGTTGACATTCATTTATTATAACATTTGTTGAGACTGTTAAGTCAAGATATGAAACAGTTAACAGAAAAGGGCAAACTCAAGCTGCTGCTACACTTTATTTTATTCTTCTAAAATTAAACACTTCAAGATGCACAATTTTTCAAAGGCTATTTCATCTATTTTCTCTATTTTATTTTTAAGTACAGCCCTTCTTTTACCTAATTAGAGAAGAACATTATATGTATACTTCAATGATAAGTGACAATAATTATATATCTTAAATTGTGCATTATTTCATTTAACAGTCAGTTGCAGACGTTGATACAACTATGAGGCTACTTCAATCACCCCAACTGGTCGAGGCAGATGACCACCCACCGAGAGCCGAAGGGTCTGTCCTAGGTTTCTGCCTCTTAACAGGCAGTTTTTCCTTGCCCCCGTCGCCAAGTGCTTGCTCATGGTGGTACTGTTGGGTCTCTGTAAATGTTATAAGGAGTTCGGTCTAGACCTGCTCCATTTGAAAAGTGTCCTGAGATAACTTCTGTTATGAATTGGCGCTATACAAATAAAATTGAATTGAACTGAATTGAATTAAATATGTTCTGGACCTTCACTTGAGGAAATGTTCTCTAGCTGGACCTCTTTGAATTTTAGTTGAATACCCCTGTTTTAGGGAGTTGGTGAGAGACATTTTAGTCTTAGCAGAGGATGTGGAAGCAGGACCTGCTGACCCAGAGCATGTAGCGAGTAAAGCAGAGGAACTTATTGAAGTTCTTGGAGTTATTTCCACACTTTCCGACCAAGATATTGACCATAGAATGACTGCAAATTTAGAAGAAGTTGTCCAATAGCGCCACCCAGTGTATTGGAATGTGTTCACTAGCTTTGCATCAATCCATTATCTGGAATTGATTTGCCTTGACTTCATACGCAGGGTAACCAATCAGACGTTAGGATTTGCCTACCAACGATGGTTTGACAGATAAAATAAATTCATGAAGCACTGCAACACAGAACCATGAAATGATTAATTAAATAGTGAAATAATTATATATGTTTTTTACATAAAATGAATCAGTATTTTAATGAATTAATGACACATTTATGTATTTAATTCCAATTTTAATTAATTAATGACACATTCAAGTAATTATTTAATGGTGTATTTACTTATTTAATTTTGGCACTTTTAGTCCTCCATACTCATGTGGGTTAGCATGTGCTAGTGGATCGAATGGATTGATTGCTAGTCAAGCAAAGTCACAAATAATATGCAACCAAACCCACTCTTGTTTCAAGCGCAGTTACTTGGAACGCACAAAATTCAGAATGGGGCAGGAAGTGAAAGGCAGAATCCATGAGAAGGAAAGGAGTGTGTCGTCCCAGTCAATGTGTGTGAAATGTGGACTCGCCCAGTGTAGTCTTTAATTATGGCAAAAATCTATTTTTAGGTCACAGTGACCTTTGATCTTTGAGTCAAATGTGTCACCAATTTATTATCTGACCAATTGTAAAGTATGGTCATCAGTTCTTGACTCATAACGTGTTTTATAAGTGTGCTCTTTTACTTTTGACCACCAACCTAATCAGTTCATCGAAGTGGACCTGTGTGCTGAATTTGAAGAAAGGACCTGTGTGCTGAATTTGAAGAAATTACCCAAAGGCATTCCTGACATATCAGGGATGAATGTGAGGTCACGGTGACCTTGAACTTTGTCCACCAAAATCATTTTTTTTCAAATTTAAGGAAATTCCTGAGATATCGTGTTCACGAGAATGGGACAGACTGACGGACGGACAGACAGAGGGACAATCGACGGACAAAAGGACAACCCAAAATCATAATCTTTGTTCTGACTAAAACTAAAACTTTTGAACAAATTCATATTTTTACTTGATGATGGAATCCTGTCAGGGAAATGAATGTGTAAATTTCAAGGCAATCCATCAAGTTATTGTCAAAACATTCCACAAATCTGAACCTGATGGTGGAGCTTGAGAAAATGTTACAATACATCATCTGAGAACCATCAACATCTGTAAAAAATTGTGTGTCAACCCATCCTGTATATGTTGATACATTTCACAGAGTAGGTGAAAACCTTGACCTTCTGGTGGTGTTATAGGAAAATTAAAGGGATAACTCAAGTCAGCAGGATTCATCCCCAGGTCAATCCATCTTATAGTTATTAAGACATTTCAATAAAAAACACCTACAGTTGGCAATAGATGTAGAGTCAGGGGATCAGCAAAGGCAATGGATTCATCCCCTGGGGACCATAAATCTAAGTACAAATTTCCATGGCAGTCAATCAGTAATTGTTGAGGTATTTTACTCTTGATTAAATTGGTGGGCCAACTGCCTGCTAGTATGGCTGAAAAGGCAATTTGACTGTTAGGGAAAATGTACAAACTGCAGCGGTGCTCGTTTTATTTTGTGTTGGATTTTAAGGCCATATGTGACATTAATTTTCAGTGGTATTTATGTTTTTCAGGATAGTTTTTATGTAATAACTTGTGTTCAAAAAGTAATGAAGCTGACAAACAATCCCCATCAGATGGCGTGTATATTCCTTCTTTGGCTTGATTTACTTTTTTGTCTAGGTTGTACAATTGCAAGGAATCAGAACAAGTAAATGATAATAAGTAAAAGGTTGACTCTGGGCTGGCATGCTACAAATTAATGATCATACAGTATTTTTTGTATTTCTTGAGGTTCTGAGGTTACTGATAATTGCTGACTCTTAGCTTTGAATGGGTTTGTGTTTAAAGGTGTTCACATACAAAATGGCTGCATTACAGGCCTGGCCAAACATATCCAGTTAGATACAGTACAAGCTATATCCTAATTTCTGTGGGTCTCTAACTTCAGCCATGTATAAAATGGGATATAATTGCTAAACTTTCACATCAGCTGTACTTATGCACACAGTCAGCATAACAAAAATGTGTCAGTGAATCATAGAGGTGGTGATTTGTCCAAAATACCTGCAAATGGACAAACCCCAAGTAGCTGTACTGTGACGTTGATTAACAAAATGGCAATTACTATGACCAAGTATATTGTTCTGTTAATGCTAAAGGTCTAATTTCAGGCATCACCTAGAGTCTCTCTACAGTATGTTGGCCTCACAGGAGTCAGGCTGCAGTATCTTCAATGTAACAATGAGCTTAATGGATTTTCTAAACCAGGGATAAAAAAAGGCATAGATCATGGGGTTTAGACAGGAGTTAAAGAAGAACAAACATATTACAAAGGCAGAAGATGAAGCGTTGAGAAAGTTATCTTGGCCTGTAAGAGCAACACAATAATATGGGCAAAGACAGATTAGAAACACAACTACAACAACACCAAGAGTCCTGGCTGCTTTCATTTCAGATTTTTTAGCAGTTACTTTCACTGATTTCTGGAGTGTGACAGCTGCAATATGTGACCGCATGGTACGAGCCTGAGACACAGCCACAACAAAAATTCTCATATACAAAACAACAATAATAGTAATGGGAACGATGAAGGAAAAAATAAGATCTGCAAGTCCAGCTATGTAGTTAATGAAAAATACACACTCTCCAATGCAGGAGTTATACCTGCCTGGTTGTTCAATGATATCCTTCAGAATCAGACTTTGAAAGATTAGAGAGCATATCCAACACAGACAAATACAGACTTGAACTCTTTTTTGTGTGACTTTGGTGGAGTAATGCAGAGGATGACAAATAGCCACATAGCGGTCAACACATATGATCACCATTGTTCCTACTGAGGCAGAGGTAACAATGTATGCTAGATACTGATACGCAACACACATGAGGTCACCAAAGAACCAGCAGCCGTCTGTCAGCATAATTTGAAAGAACAAGAGGAGGCCCACGAAGAAATCTGACACAGCCAGAGAGAGGAGGAGGAGGTTGGTGGGTGTGTGGAGCTGCCTGGGGAGGAAGACCAGCAATCATTATTCATAGTGTGAATCATTATTGAGATTAAAAACCAAAAGGAAAGAGTGAAATACAGTTACTTGGAAAACACACTTTGTACCTCACAGTTTAAGATCAGGCATTATTTTTTTATTACTATTTACTAATTTCATTAAATGAATGATTATCTACTTGAAGTGGGAGATCGAGATGATGACCAGCAGGTTAAGAACTGCAGTGAGCAGAGAGATGGAGGACAGCAGAATGTAAATCAGCATGGTCTCAAAATGAGGCCGCACTGGCTTCCTGCAGGAGGTGTTGAGGAGTTGTGGAAAGCAGAGTTCACTTCCCTCCAAGGTCTCCATCAGCACAGAGAGGAGAATCTGCTGAGCTCTGACAGCTTTATGACCAAAGCTTTCCGCCATACAATTAATTTATCTCATCCTTCCATCTGCCCACACCTCCTTCCTCCTCACCTCTGCTGCTGTTTTCTCTCCATAGAGATTAAAATACTGTGCTATCTGTGCTCATCTTCCATAACATTGATGATTTTGGTTTATGCTAAATATTGTCCACTTTGGCTATCTACCAGATGTCCTGGGTTGACATCAAAATCCCTTTTCCAAGACAGACCTGAGAGTAAAGGGCATTTACGATAGAAAAGGAATAAATAAAAACATGAGCTAGAACTACAGCAGACATCAGACGGTGAAGTTATCTGAACTGAAGGTTGACTGCATAATAGCTTTATGTTTGGTGGTAGACAGATATCATGTATAAACCCAGTTTAAAAAGGTTAAACTGCTTGATTATTTCACATTGCAGATTGAGGATTTTAATGTCTCTGACAATGCTCACTAACACCAAGGTAAAAACTCCAGAGGCAGGGTATTTGTGTGGTCTGTTAGTAAGTATGATACTGTATCAGTTAAGGTTGATTCATGAGGGTTTATGAGCTGATGATGTTCCAGACAGAGTGCTAAGCAAATAAGGCTTCAGTCAACCTCTGTGCCTAGCTAGGTGGACAGATTTATAGCAGACAGGAATATGAAAATAATTGGGTATAGTCCAGTGTTTCTCAAACTTTTTAAGATCAAGGACCACTTAGCCAATAAAAACAAAAATCACTGTCAACCTAACTCCCAAGTATTCTCCAAAACAATATAGGCCAACAGTATATTACAACAGTTTTATAAATAGCATAGCCTACTTAGTGGGCTAAAAAGGATATCCTTCAGAATCAGACTGAAAGATTAGAGAGCATATCCAACACAGACAAATACAGACTTGAACTCTTTTTTGTGTGATTTTGGTGGAGTAATGCAGAGGATGACAAATAGCCACATAGCGGTCAACACATATAATTTATCTCCATCTTCCCTCCTCAACTCTCTCGTCCTCTCCCCTGCTGCTATTTTTCTCTTCACAAAGATTGACGTTCTGTGCCTTCTTTGCTTATCTTTCTCATGTCCACCTTTTGCACCCAGATTATCCCAGCAGGTAGACATCCCATTAACAGCGCATGACTTCAGGTTTCAGTTTCAGTGTGTCTTGGGAAAGTTAAGATGACATTTAGAGGCAACTGTCCATTTAAATTGAGTATGCAACAGGCGAGTGCACAATAGACACAGGCGGATAAATTCACCAACAAACACCAAGGCAATGAGGATATGGAATTATAATGCCTTATAGCACATACTGGATAAATGTGAACCGAAATAATAAACTGGAGGAGTGATGAAGGGATGGGGAAAGGGTTGAGGGATAAAGAGATAAGGCGGGATAAAGGATGAGGGATGTAGGGGTAATGGAAGGAAGGAAGAGTGAGGCATTGTTCCGGTCATTATGGATGTATATGGAGGTAGACTGGAAATTCATCTGCCAAGAATTTTAATGATGTTATCTGGGATTCCCTGCCTGGAAGCGATGGAGATGGCTCCAATGTGAAAAGAATGCCCTGGGTAATGGCTCGGATGATATTCCTGATCCGGACAGAATTTGGCGAAAGTTGCAGTAAAATCAAAAATGTATGGTTACTTGTCTATGATCAACAGAGGGTCTTGGGTGGGGGAGTTTGTCTAGCTAGCCTAGGGTTAATGTAATCTTGTATGAGATGTCAGTAGTTGAGGTAGATGGGAAGGACTTTGAATATGCAAGAGAGAGTGGTGTTTTGCTGAATTGCTTAAAAAGTTTAGCTTTGTTGTTGGAGCGGTGGAAGGGTAAGTTTTGCAGAAGGAGAGTGTACTTCAGGCGAGCGACTTTCCACACTGATACCTATGAAGCCGAGAGACGATTGGAGTGTTGGTGGGGTGAATTCGGGTCGTGGTGGCCTCACTTGTCTTTCGAATGCCTGGACCTTGAACATGGGAAGAGAGGTGCCGGAAGACAAGATCTTCCCCTAGGAGTTTGCCACTAGCCAGCCCAGCTTAACGAATTCAAAGGGGAACATCGCTACAGTCAAGGGAAACTCCACACCATCATGCCAGTATTCACGAGGACCAACACTGTCACCTGGATTACATTATATCAACATAAACAATGGCTGGCTGTACAAGTACACTCCCCGTTAAGCCTGAGGTAAGAAACAAACCTACCAATTTACAATCAAAAATCAGACTCAGATCTCCGCACAACACATCCTTCCTATCCAGCCAAACTTACTGTGCCAATTCCCACACGATCTACGCTCAGGAACGAGCAAACAAAATGTTTACTGGCAAAATTAACAAAGGGACCAGGGTGCTCCAAATCAACTTTACACGTGTCACCCGGCACCGCACCTCAGATCACATCCTAAACTGAAGGAAAACACCTACAGTCCAGCTTACGTAACGACCAAATAGGATAAATCCAAAATATCAGCTTTTTTACTTTTACCACTTTCTTGAACCACGTATTACCAAACAAACCCTAACAAGCACCTGTCACCACATAACAAAACTACAAAACACACCGATGTTTAAATGTTTTACCTAAATTGCGTAACATAAGCAGGAACAAAAATGGCTAAACCAAGCCCCCATTTTGTCATAACATGGCCCATAGGCCATGACAAAATGTGGAGAGGACAAAGCTTTAATGTCATTACAAATTAAGTAATTAATATTTATTATAACAAATAACCTAAATGCATCTTGAAATATGAGATGTGGTTGCCTGTAGTATCAGTGGTGTTCCTGTGAATGAGTGTAAGTGTAAATTGAGGTGCTGTGGAGTAAAAGGGTGAGTAATAAATGGAGCGAAGCCTGCAAGCTAGTTCAACTCGAGCTGCACTGCTGACATGCCTCACTCCATAATCACTAACCAAGTGCACCCTTCCAATCTGGAAGTCTATTTAAGCTGCAAAATTTCTCAACTCTCCCTCTGGTGTGTCACTGTCTTCCACTTGTTCTTTAATTCATTTTTATGTGCTGGATGTTCCTCGTTTTGTTTTTGTGTTTTGTCAGAGTGATTGACGTCAGATGATTTTGTTGTACACTCTCTCCTGCCTTTTGGTGTATGAGAGCTGTTTTTCTACTTTGATCCTTGCTGGATTGTTATAGTGAGTAACCTTGAGTAAAGGCACATCCCTGTAAATTCTGGGCCTCACTGGCTCCTTAGTTAGCTGAAGATAAGGCTGTTTTGGGGAGCTGAGTGGCTGGTCTCAGTCCAATTTATACATGAGGTGATACCATTGGTGAGGCCCACTTTACAGGTGGGCATGGCCTAAAGTTTTTCAGTGCTGCACAAGCATACAAGGGATAAACCCACTGGCTATAGCCTTAGAGGGCTGCGCCTATACACATAGTCTGGAGTTACAGTTTGTAACTAACTTCTCAAAAAATGAATAATGAATGATCACCATGGCTCTCGGAGGTGCAACTTGTTTGCGGTAGTGGTTGTAGAGTTCGGTGTGCTTTGTCCACTAAAGCAGCCTTTTTGAGCTGGATAGCTTCTTTCAGCAGCATGGAGACTGCAATCGTGCTACATTTGCCATGGCCTTCAGGTACACCTACTGTTCGGACATTATTGAGTCTGGATCTTGCTTCTATGCTATATTTGGAATAAAGCCCCATTAGAAATATCTAAATGGAATACGCGGTTTTCATGACCCATAATAATAATAATACTATAATAATAGTGGAAAATTAGTGTACATGCAAATGTAGTCACAGATGTACATGGCAAATAAGATTATATAATTTTTAAAGAGTATATTGCTTTAAAAAGCAGTTAAATGTCTTTGTAGTTTGTGTTGAATGCAGTTTTTGCTGCAGCTGTGTGTGCTCCTGCAAGATGCATGCAATTCATGGCAAGCAGGCAGAACACAGCACAATACTGGCCGGGCACTCTCTGAGCACCAAAATTCTCAGTGCACATTCTCTTTAGTAAATAGCCCAAGATTTAATAAGGTGCGCCACTTAGCCTGTTTTCATATATAGTCCTTTTTAATTTAGCCAAACCCAGTCCTCTTCAACTGGACAAAAAAGTGGACCGCTGACGGCCGCTGACTCCAATGTGCTTCTCCATGCTCCCCTTGGCTGCACTGTCAGAAACTTCTGAGAGTTAACGTAAATATGACGTAACATCCCGCTCTCAGCACGTCATCACGTTGATGACGTGCTGAGAGCGGGAGCTCAACGTACACGTCCCAAACAGATAAGATCACAACAATAGCATGTCTTCATAAACCACCCTTGTTCGTCTTCATACAATATGTTGGGAAGTTGCAATAAATATCAATACGATATGTTCTATATCCCTTTGTGTTGTTTCTCTTCTTCGTCTGTTAAGATAGCTGAACATTTTGTGAGTCTCGAGGCATTGTCAGCCTTTATATCTCATTTGTAAATGCTTAATAAGCCATAGATAGTGCTCACTTTACATAAGCTCGTGTAAAATACTTAATTAATGAGTAGTAAGTGCTTTGTAACTGTGAATTCCTGCATTAATAACTGTTTATAGGCCATCATTAGAAAATGAATTTGTTGTGGGTTTTATAGAACATCTGCTAACACAGTCACTAATCATTAATACATGTCTGAATAGTGGATGTGCAAGTGCATGCAGAAATGTACAGTACAATGAAGAGTAAAACATTTATAACTGTGATTATAAACCACATAGTAATGACTATTTACAGCAGAATCATGCTTTATAAATGATGAATTCAGTATTTACTAATCCATAACTAATGTGCTCATCAATGATGAATAAACATTTTTAACTGTGTTTATAAACTACATACTAATGTGTATTCATGCGTTATAAATGATGAATTCAGTATTTATTCATGCTGAACTAATGCTTAATAGTGTGTACTCATTATAAAGTGTTACCTATATATATATATATATAAACAAAACAACAGGCACGCCGCACACACTTGTTTAAGAGTAGTAGACGTTACGTTTTGAGTGGATGGCGAGCGCGAGACGCCGAAATGGATGCCAATAATATGCTGAATGGAAAGTTTACTTTTAAAAAGTTGCCAAATGGTTCCATTGACAAGACCAAAGTGATCTGTGTGTTTTGTTGTTGTGAACTGAGCTATCATCGCTGCACGTCCAGTCTGAAATACCACTTGACAGGTTGACAAGTACCCAGCTGATGCGAATAAGCAAGCCGATCCACTTTTCCATGTTGAGCATTAAAATGAGAAAAAAATAATGGGACAAAAAGAAATCAAGGGTCATTTAGAATAGATAAAAATGTGCGATTAATTGCGATTAATTGAGAGTTAACTATGACATTAATGAAATATTTTAATCGTTTGACAGCACTAATATATATACACAATAACACAGTTTGCAGTTTTGAACAGGAGTAGAATATACAGTATTTTCTATATTTAATATAACTAAATGTTCTGTCTTGAACAGCAACAATAACGTTTACAACAGCAAAGTCACTGTATAAACTGTAAACAAATCTAAAATTTTAATAAAATAAATAATATTACTGACATCAAACACAGACATCAGTCAATATCAGTCCTTCCTCGTGTCCTCTCAGATTTGTGGTGTATTGGGAAAATGCATTCAGGGATAAGGTTCTGTGAACATGAAGCAAACTATATTATGTTGTGTTATTTCATGTTTAATTTTACAGGCTTACAGTATAATATTTTATGTTCATGTATGTTAATCCTCATGTATTCACACTCTGGTTGTCTCACACTAGTTAGGAGAGTGTTATTCATTGTGCCATGAGCTAAGCACATTCCAAAGACCAAGGCTGTCTCCTGGAGAGTAGGGCATCAGATGTGTTATGACTACTGTTTATCAGACATTACACGTCACCAATAGACACCCTTGGGAAAGAGGAATATAATAGAATGATGTTCTTTGTTCAAGTTAGTTGATTCTCGAGACAACTCGGTTTGCTTGTATCCTGTATTGATGCAAATAAATCTTGCATGTGGAGTGAAGCGGTAAATTCTCTTATAGCATGCGTATAAAGGTCAGGCACTGTTTACAAACAAGTAGTTGTAGTCCGCCATTGTTGTTGTTGTTGTCGTCCAGACAACTCCGGGCAATCCGGCGTTTTCAGATTTTCCCACTCTGGGACCCATATTAAAAAAATACAGTTTTCACACCCCAAAAACGCCGTATCCGTCTGGACGCGAGGCCGATACGATAAAGTATTTATCCAGATTTGAAAAAAACGTATTCGTGTGGACGGCCCCTTAGACTACATACAGACAGCTTTAATCCTTATTAGAGTAACAAGGCAGTGCTCACTAACACCAAGTGTAAAAACTCCAGAGGCAGGGTATGTGTGTGGTCTGTTAGTAAGTATGATGTCAGTTAAGGTTGATTTATGAGGATTTATGAGCTAATTATGTTTCAGACACTGTTTGAAATAAATAAGGCTTTTGTGGGAGACAAGACTTTGGTCAACCTCTGTGCGTAGCTAGGTGGACAGATTTATAGCAGACAGGAATGCTGTGGCTGTAACAACTGTTGGCAAAGCAGGTTTAATATTTCTACTTCACTTGAGTTGTCCACTTGTGTGTGGAGCTGAACCCTGCCCACTGCCCTGCAGAGGAGAGAGATAGAGAAGCAAGCTGAACATAAAATGATAACAAAACATGGTAACACTAGGTGCTGCACCCTGGATATAACATTCTGATCAATGATCATTTGGCTGCCCTATGAGCGTGATGCACACCCATGTTGCAGTGGACCTGGCTAAAATACAAAAAAATGCAGACTAATTGTTCTTTGTTTGGAGGGCTGAAAAGGGCCAAGTGTGTAAACACCCTAACTTAAAGTGTGTGTGCAACTTGTAAAAAGCACACGCTTTATAAAAAAAAAAGCAAAAAAAAAAGAGTATCCATTAATGCGGGTATGAATATGTTCACAGTTTCAAAAACTATGACTATGACCATACTGAGTGTCTAATTGCAGGAACCATGCAGAGTCTCTTTACAACATCTTGGCTTCACGGGAATCACTCTGCATTATCTTAAATGTAACAATGAGCCTAATGGTTTTTCTAAACCAGGGATAAAAAAGGACATAAATCAAAGGGTTTAGACAGGAGTTAAAGTAGGACAAACATATTACAAAAGTTGCAGATGAAGCATTGAGCAAGTTATCTTGGCCTGTAAGAGCAACACAATAATATGGGCAGAGACATATTAGAAACACAACTACAACAACACCAAGAGTCCTGGCTGCTTTCATTTCAGATTTTTTAGCAGTTACTTTCACTGATTTCTGGAGTGTGACAGCTGCAATATGCAACCGCATGGCACGAGCCTGAGACACAGCCACCACAAAAACTCTCATATAGAGAACAACAATAACAGTAATGGGAACAATGAAGGAAAAAATAAGATCTACAAGTCCAGCAATGTAGTTAACAACAATGATACACTCTCCAACACAGGATATATACCTGCCTGTTTTTTCCAGGATATCCTTCAGAATCAGACTTTGAAAGATTACAGAACACACCCAACACAGACAAACACAGACTTGAACTCTTTTTTCAGTGATTTCAGTGGAGTAATGCAGAGGATGACAAATAGCCACAAAGCGGTCAACAGATATAAGCACCATGGTTCCTACTGAGGCAGAAGTAATAATGTATGCTAGATACTGACCCAGAGCACACATGAGGTCACCAAGGAACCAGCAGCCATCTAAGTGAATAATTTGAAAGCACATTACGAAACCCACGAAGAAATCTGAAACAGCCAGAGAGAGGAGGATGAGGTTGGTGGGGGTGTGGAGCTGCCTGGAGAGGAAGACCAGCAATATATTTATCATTCGTTATAATATCAATCATTATTCAGACAAAAACAGATTTCCTCACAGTTTAAGATAAGGCAGTATTTTGTATTATATCAGTTTTATAAATGAATGATTATCTACTTGAAGTGGGAGATTGAGATGATGACCAGCAGGTTAAGAACTACAGTGAGCAGAGAGATGGAGGACAGCAGAATGTAAATCAGCATGGTCTCAAAATGAGGACGCACTGGCTTCCTGCAGGAGGTGTTGAGGAGTTGTGGAAAGCAGAGTTCACTTCCCTCCAAGGTCTCCATCAATACAGAGAGGAGAATCTGCTGAGGTCTGACAGCTTTATGACCAAAGCTTTCTGTTATACAACTAATTTATCTCCATCCTCCCATCCGCCCACACCTCTTTCTTCCTCACCTCTGCTGCTGGTTTTCTCTCCATAGAGATTAAAGTACTGTCTGTCCTCATCCACCTCAATGTTGATGATTTTGGTTTATGCTAAATAACGTCCACTTTGGTTATCTGCCAAATGTCCTGGGTTGAAGTTTTCTGAACTGAGCTGTAATTTGTTCTCGTCATGGGAGTACATTCTTTCCCTTATGTTGAAGTTTTGCAATTGGATTTTCTCAGCAGGTAGCATTCCCATTGACAGTGCAAGTCCCAGGGAAGGTTACGGTGGCATTAAGTGTTACTTGTCCATTTAAATCTTGTCCAGTTGAGTTCTGTTGGTCTAACACTGGGAGATTGTCTTGGAATTATAAGTTTTCTCCTGTGCAATTATCCCTGTTTCGAGTAAAACAATCTTGTGTACCAATTCTTTGTGCTTCATCTATGCATTTGAGCACAGGGACACAGTGCTGTCCAAATGGTCTTTTAAATTGTTTGGGTTGTATTATTTATTAATTAATTTTTATTTAATCTCATTAAGGCAGTCTCATTGAGATGAAGATTTTTATTCCAAGACAGACCTGAGAACGAAAGTCATACACAATCGCACAATAGACAATAAATCAATGGAAAAAGGAACAAGAATTACAGCAGACATCAGATGGTGAAGTTATCTGGGAAGACACATATACTGTAATTCTATCTAAGAAGCCCAGTTTAAAAAGGTTAAACTGCTTTTAGTTTCTTTTCGTGGTAATATCAGATTGCGACAACAGGCAGTGCTCACTAACACCAAGGGTAAAAACTCAAGAGGCAGGGAATGTGTGTGGTCTGTTTTTAAGTATGATGTCAGTTAAGGTTGATTTATGAGGGTTTATGAGCTAATTCTGTGTCAGACACTGTTCGGAGCTTGCGAGGAACAGTGTCTAGGAACAGATGTTATTGTTGACATATGGAATGTGAGTTGCATGCCAAACGTAGTACTCATCGCAATGCAGCTACGCTATTTATTTTTCCTGGGAGTACATTCTCTTATTTCTACGTTTTGCAACCAGATTATCCCAGCAGGCACAATAGACACAGGCGGATAAAATCACTAACAAAGACCATGGCAATGAGCATATGGACCTATAATGCCTCATTGTACTGGATAAAGGTGAACTGAAATCATAAATTGTAGGACGGATGAAGGGATGGGGAAAGGGTTGAAGGATGAAGGGATGTAGGGGTAATGGAAGGAAGGGTGAGGCACAACTACAACAACACCAAGAGTCCTGGCTGCTTTTATTTCAGATTTTTTAGCAGTTACACTGATTTCTGGAGTGTGATAGCTGTAATATGCCACTGCATGGCACGAGCCTGAGACACAGCCACCACAAAAACTCTCATATAGAGAACAACAATCACAGTAATGGGAAAAATGAAGGAAAAAATAAGATCTACAAGTCCAGCAATGTTGTTAACAACAATAATACTGTAGCGACCCTGCAGTAATGTTCTGTTATAATGTCAAATGTTCTGTGAGTTAATGACATGTTTGGGATTGAATGAGTAGGTAGGGGGCGGGGTGCGAGTGTGTTGGGGATGAGGGCTGTGTGAGTGCGCGTGCGTGTGTGTGAGCGAGCCTGAGGTGTGCGCGAAGGACACAGTTAGAGAGTTACGGCTAACTTTATGTTTTTGGTTGTTTTGGCGTGGTTACGGCCGACAGTAACCTGTACTGTTCCAGCAATAAATGTTGGTTTGCTGACTAACTTCGTCATCTTTTTCAACACGTCCTGGCGGACGCTACATTTGGTGTCAGAAGTAAAACACCGGAGTCTTCCGAGCTTATCTCCGTTAGTCACGGCTAACCCGGACTCGGCTAACTCTGCTCTAACAGTCTGCAGACATGGCGGTGAGACCGGACCGGCGCTCGTCCGAAAGTCAAGGAAGAGGTGATGGACAGTCTTCATGCTGGTACACTCGGGCGTGAGGGGGAGTTTGGCCGTACTTCAGAGCACGTGGCTCGCCTAAAGTAACCAGCCAGGAAGCTAGCCGCTCGCTTTGACTCGCCAAGCTCGGAGGTGCACGCCAGGAGTGCCGCACGGCCGGATGTGAGCAAAGACCGCGGCCGCCAGTGTGACCAGCTCCAAGTGAAAACGCCGAAGTACTCCGGTAAGGTAAACTGGGAAGCCTTCCATGCTCAATTTGAACTGTTAGCGCAGGCTGCAGGCTGCAGGCTGGTCTGAGGACACTAAGGCACTCCAGCTGGCTCTATGCCTTTCAGAAGAAGCACTAACATGTTTGCTGCTGCTCAGCCCAGCCGAAAGAGCTAACTATGGGGCTTTAGTTGGGGCTCTACAGCGGAGGTTTGGACAATGCAGCCAGCCTGGCGTCCTGCGTTCAGAACTGTCAAGCAGGCAGAGACAGCCCGGTGACCCGCTCCGTGTATTGGCTAATGACGTTGAAGCCCTGGCAAGGAGAGCATACGCTCACATGCCCCCTGACGTGCAGAGCGAGCTAGCCAGGGACCAGTTCATCTGGGCCATAACCCCTAGGGAGCTGCGCATCCAGACACAACTGGCACACCCCCGCACCCTGCAGGAGGCACTGGGGCTGGCCTTGAAGAGAGAGGTCGTGGGAGGGGCGGCAGAGAGCGACCATGCCGGGGGCAGCCCTGTTGTGAGAACTGTGGTACAGGAGGGCCCGGGCCAAGAGAAGCCGGCATGGGCGGCTGAGTCGACTGAACTAATCCGTGCTGTGTCACTGCAATCACCGCACAGCAGCACCCATCCTCACCAAAGCCCCCCTGTGTGTTGGGTGTGTGGCCAGGCTGGCCATATCAGTGTGAGGTGCCCCAAGTGTGCTGGTGTTCAGGGAAGACCCCCACCCCCGTGTCCCACCCTGCCTTGCCCCTGTTAGCCGGAGCCCAGCTGCATGGATGGGGGAGCGGGGCTCCACTCCCCCCAGAAGCAGATGACACCGCTGAGTCCGCGAGAGTGGTGGGTTGGACCCACGCAGGGGATTTTTGCCATGTCCCTGTCACCCTGGCAGGGGCTCCATGCACAGCCCTTGTTGACACTGGCTCCACCGCTACACTGTTGAGACCGGATCTGATCCCGGTGGGGACACAGTTGAAACCTACAGTGGTGAAGCTGAGGACTGTGACTTGTGAGTTAGCCCCTATGCTTGGAAGAGGGGTGGTGGTTATACGGGTGGGGGGGCTGGCAGTGAACTTTAGGGTGTGGGTTGCAGCAGTGCAGGACCCCTGCACCGCTGTGTGTTGGACCTGGGGATGGCAGTCCCACAGTTGAAATGGTGCACCCCACACAAGCCGCAAAACCACATCTGCCGACCTTGAGAGCAGTAGAGGCGCATCATGTGTCAAATCCCCCACTCCAGGCTTCCCCCCCTACACCCGTGGCCCCCCATCCTCCATGCCCCAGCTGATGTGCAGCCCCCTGCCCTGGACCAGCAGCCCACAGCAGGAGGACAGGTAGACAGACTGGCAGCAGTAAGAGAGGTGTGGAAACGCAGCTGCTATGACTTGGAACCCGAGCAGCAGGAGGAGCTGTGGCAGGTGTTGGTGGAATTAAATGACACTTTTGCACTGACAGAAGAGGAAGTGGGCCTGACACATCTGGTGCAGCATGAGATCGACACTGGGGATGCACGGCCCATCAAGACACGCCCCCGCCGCCTTCCCCTGGCGCATCAGGCACCTGCGGACAGAGCGATTGATGAGATGCTGATGGCTGGCATCATCGAGCCCTCGGACAGCCCCTGGGCCTCGGGGGTTGTGATGGTCAATAAGAAGAATAGTCCAAAGATGAGGTTCTGCGTCGATTACAGACCACTGAACAGCGTGACCAAGAAAGACTCATACCCACTGCCCCGCATCGACGAGTCTCTGGACTTGGTGTCTGGCTCGTCCTGGTTCTCCTCTTTAGACCTACGCAGCGGGTATTGGCAGGTGCCCCTCAGCCCTGAAGCCAGACCAAAGACAGCTTTTTGTACCGGCAGAGGGTTGTGGCAGTTTCAAGTCCTCTCCTTTGGTCTGTGCAACGCGCCGGCCACGTTCGAACGGCTGATGGAAAAGGTGTTAGCCGACATTCCCCGACAGGAATGTCTGGTCTACCTGGACGATATCCTGGTCCATGGGAGCTCCTTCCAGGCAGCCTTGGAGGCCCTGCGGCGGGTTCTACAGAGGATAGCAGCGGCAGGTCTGAAGCTCCACCCTGACAAGTGCTGCTTCATGAGGAAAGAGCTGGAGTTTCTGGGACACAGAGTTGGGGGAGAGGGCATCAGCATGTTGGAGGAAAAAGTGCAGGCAGTGAAGAACTGGCCAGCCCCCACCAACTTGCGAGAGCTGAAGAGCTTCATTGGACTGGCGTCCTACTACAGGCGGTTTGTGCGCAGCTTCTTGTATAGCTGCACCTCTGTTCCACCTGCAGCAGAAAGACTGTGATTTTACCCGGACTCCTGAATGTGAGCGGGCCTTCAGCTCTATGAAGAAGGCCTTGACAGAATCTCCCATCCTCATCCCCCCGGACCCCAACCTGCCATTCGTCCTGGACACAGACGCCAGCGATATGGGGATGGGGGCGGTGTCGAGCCAGGTGGGGCCTGAGGGGGAGACGGTGGTGGTACTTAAGTAAAACTTTCAACAAAGCTGAACGGCGCTATTGTGTGACACGCAGAGAGCTCCTTGCTATTGTGAGAACAATAAGCCACTTCAAGTATTACCTCTGCGGCCTGCCCTTCACGGTCTGAACTGACCATGCAGCCCTCCACTGTGGAAAGGTCCACTGTGAAAGATTTACTGGCATTGTTGTCAGTTTGTGACAATAGATCCTTCTAAATGTTACACACTGGACCTTTTTTAATTTATGAAGCTGATAAACAATTCCTTGCAGATGGAGTGTATATTATATATAGTATATCCTTCTTTTTTTAATAACTTTTATGTCTAGTGTGTACAATTGCAAGGAATCAGAAA